CAAAAACAAACCAAACCAAACCAAACCAAACAACACTAAAACAAACCAAAGTTTTCCTTTCCTTTCCTTTCGAAAAACTAACATATGCTGGTTAGGTATGTTTTGAAGCATGGCAGCTAGTTTGAGCTGATTTAAGCTGGTCCATAGTTGGTCTTGAGCTGGTATAAGCTGGTCATGTGCTTATAACCAGCTCAGGACCAGCTTAAACCATCTCATGACCAACTAAGGACCACTTTAGTCAGCTTCCATGCTTCAAAACACACCTACCCAGCATATGCTAGTTTTTTTTCAACAGGGTTTCCTTTTCTTTACTTTAGCATTTAAACATTTTGTCCCTGTTTCTCTTCCAAAATTTCCCTTTTATTCCTATCCCCTCCCCTCCAACATAAACCAAACTTTTTCAAATCTTTCCCAAAGTAAACCAAAAGGAATCCTTTTACGTTTGATCAAACAGAATATATGTGATCAGCCAGAGTGTGAATACTTAATACAGAGAATCTAGTAAAAGGGTATTCAGGGCTTTCCAACTGAATGTCTTCATATTTAATTTACGTGTGTAGAGATGGTGTTTCTACAGCTGTAGGTCTGGCTAAAGCATAGCCTTAGGGCTGTGTGCTCCTCTTAAAGTCTGTAGAGATTTCTCATCTCCTATCCTGATCTTCAGGCTGATGCTTTTGTTTAGGTGCCCTCGGTTGTACATGTGTATTTCTGTGGTTGAGGTAAACGTCAATACACATGAACAAACTTTGACTCAGAACACAAGGAAATGCTTAAGCCTTTTTGCTCAGCAGTGACTTTTCTCAGCTCTCTATTGTAGTTCTCATGTCTAACATTGCTTTTAGTTTCATACCAAGATAGCAAACACATTTTGACTGTTTGTGTGTTAACGTATTTGTGAGTAAAAATCCTCAAGACATTGTGATTGGGTGTGTAGAATGGGGAATTTGGCTCAAAGAACAAAACCGGTCTAAACTGCAATCACACCAAGTCTCTCTCTCCAGATGAAAGTGTATTTACTCTCTGTTCTAACCTATCCTAACACTAGTGAAGTATGGAGTGCCACAAGGCTCTATCTTCAGCTTTGACCTGTCAGTCAAACTCTTAGCTATACTGACGTCCTGGGCCAAGGGAGGCAATCAGTTATTTTAAACGATCTTTCAGATGTCTAAACCACAGAAAATCTGTCTCTCTACGACGCTGCAGAAATAATCATTCTATAGTCTTTTATCTGAAGCAATTATCTGAATTGTGACTTTAAAATGATACAACATATATTGTATATTGTTTAAAGTTGAGGTGTTGTTACAAAATGTTCTCTTATCTCAGCATAATACTCAACTGTAAGCAAGCTATTCGTACATGATTTTCCTGATTCTCATGATTTAAAATGTTCCTGTCTTGCTTTCTGAAAAAAAAAAAATATATATATATATCGAAATCAAGTTTCGCATTAAGAAAAGAAAAATGAACTTCAAAGTGTAAAAACAAGGTATTTTTTCTTACTCCATTGGCAGTATTTATTTATTTATTTACAAAACATCTTCAAATGTTTTGGAAAGTAAATGTATCTTGGTTCAAGAATGTTTAGATATTTGTACTGGAGAACAAGAGAAAGAAAGGTTATACTGTATATATATATAGGCATGTTTTTCATGTTTATTATGCATTATACTGTATATTGTAAACAATGTCATGCCATTAGACACAGATGCAGGTGTGTGTGTGTGTTGTGTGCAGAAATGATGATGTGTTAGTCAGAGCTGAGCTCACCAGCTCCCTGCGCTGCCGGTCTGGTGTTTCATTAGATAGTGTGTGTGAGCTGGCAAAGTGAAAGAACCAGGAATGATTTTCCAGCGGTCATCGCACCTCACTCTTAGCCCAGTGAGGGACACATGTGGTGGGTCACTGGGAGAGATGTGGCCTTCTCGTCCTGGTGCTATTTAAACAGGCTGGTGAAAGGAGTGACCGCCAGCTTTCAGATTTGATTCACTTTACTGATGACTCTAATGATCATATTCCTCAAATAGACCAATGAAGTATATATTTGCTTCTCGCAAAGGCATATGAAATCTGATCTGTGGTTTACAGAATAAAGAATACTGTATATAACAAAAGCATAAGAAAAGTTTCCAAGACGCGACCCTCATATTAGAAAAATAAATAAAGCACTGTTATTTTTAATAAAAATCAACCCCTGGGACAAAAAAGTGTCAAAGTTGAAGTTACACCCATTTATGTCCGATCAGTCAAGAGAGTTGTTTGATAAAGATTTGCAATGAAACCCATGGAATCTGCAATGTCACTGTGAATAACTGACTAAAACATGATTTCAAGCCATTTAATCATTTTGGATGTGGATTTAACCGTTTGACCCCATATCCCATGCACTGTTTGCTTTCCTCTATTTTAAACGATCATCTGTTCATCCGTGTAAGATATGTTTATACCAAACCCCAGATCCCAACAACTGTATATTTTCTTTCAATATAACACATACCGCGTCCATCCCAAAGTCAGGGTGAGCGGCACTCCAGGGAATTCTTAGAGGTCGACATTTTAATACTGGTAATTGCGTTCCAATCTTCCTGTGAGTCCACCTGTAAAATTGTATTAGCCATGCGATTTCCCATGGTCCTGTGGGGGAGCGGCCCAGTGCGGAAGTCCTATTCTGGATGTTTGATTATTTAATCAGTGAGTGATCTTAGGTCTCACACATTTCTCAAGGTCATGGGAGTTTCCTCAAAGACTTGTGTGTGAATCTTACAGGGCTCTGAGGATGATGATGATGATGAGGAGGTGGTGGGGGTTGTTTTAAGTGGGCCCTGGTGCATTATGGTTCATGAATAGAGATATGGATAGACAATATTGGATGACTTGGGGATTGGAGAGTTTTATAAATGAAAAAAAATATCATTTTAATTATTGTAGAAAACAAAATGTTATATTTTATGGTAATGTCAGGTATGCAAGAATTTTACAGTATTATATGTGCTGTTAAATCAATTTTTAACTCCTAAATACTTTTGACTAATATATTACTGTTAAAGTATACATGCATTGTCTTGTTAAATATACACTTTCACCTAGGTTTCTTTAAAAGATTATAAAATTACATGTATTGTCTGTTTTAACCTTAAAAGGGGCAGAACAATAAAGAGACATCATAAAATGTATTTATTGCTATTTTCCATCTTATTGGGACTCCAATAATACAATTTCATGATTTTTTTTTCAAACCTTGACTCTTATTTTTTTATTTTAATGTTTGCATGCCCCAGGATATGTTGCCCCTTTGGGGGGTATAAATTTACTGAAAACAGAACACTTGTTTATCAATGCTTGTTACAACATGGTTGTAATTCCTGAACACTTTGGAATACAGACCTAAAGTTGGTCTCTTTTTAAAGAAGACACATAGCAGTTTATTGCTGAAGTGAAAGCATTTCAAAATAAATTATAAAAAAAGTTATAGAAGTTTAAGTTAGCAGTAAAGATAATGTAGTATACTAATTTGTTATTTTATATGAAATAAATACTTTATAAAATATGTTGCACATTAAAATGCTATAAATCAAAGCCATATGTCTAACCAAGTTATGTTCCAAATTTGAAGTTGATATCACAAAAATTGTGGTTCCTGTGAGATTTTGTTTGGCCACTAAACCATATTTTTTCAGTTTTCTGTCACAAATCAATCATTTTCTGTCACAATATCACTTCTATTACAAATCAGTCACCAAATATGGAGCATTGACGTTCAGACCTTTCCAACGATATGTGTTGTGTCAAGATTACAAAAAGATGATATTTTCTAAAACGCAAGCCACAAAATCACAGTCTATAAATATATGTTTTTATATCTTGATTTAAACCCCTAAAAGGGCAAGGTATCCCCTGAGATACAAACATTTAGGGACAGATTACAAAAAAATTTAAGTATTTAATTCATAAAATTTCAATGTAAACCTAACCCAACAGATTTTAATGTGAACATGTGAACTAGATCAACTTTTATTCTTTGTTTATGTGAGATAAACAAAGAATTTATAAAAAAGTCAATATACTGTATCTAAATATTCACAACAAACACCCTTTCAACATGAAACCAAGAAATGAGACCTACACTTTCCCTGCCTCTCCTCACAGCCTCTCAAATGCTTGTATCCCCCAGGATACGTTGCCCCTTAATATATACTTTATATTTGCACAATTTTTACTGTATGTTATAATTACATTACTTCATCAAAATAAGAATCTTCAAACAAACGTTAGATGAGTTTGATAGATAGCTTTTTGTTTAGTTTAGCTCTATTGCCTACAAATTTTATCATATTCATCATGTTTTCCTAACATTTTTAAAATGTAAACACTTACATGAAAGGAGAATTGGCTTACCATGTACACAAAACAGAAATAAGAGATAGATAGATAGATAGATAGATAGATAGATAGATAGATAGATAGATAGATAGATAGATAGATAGATAGATAGATAGATAGATAGACGTGTCAAAACATAAATCATCAAAACCTTGTGGGAAGGATCTGAAGTGAAAAGGTTGATGAACAAAACATGATGAACATAATATAATCTTGAGGTAATAGAGCTACACAACACAAAACTATCTGTCAAACTCATATAAAGTTTGTTTGAAGATTGACTTTGAGGATTGAAGATTTATCACTGTATTACTCATTCACTCACACATCTCTGGCTTTGGCCGGCGGCCATCATGTTGAAACTAACGCTGCCATGTTAGATGACTGCCAGCACATTTTCTCAGATGCAGGTGAAGTTGTGTCTTATTAGTTTGCACAGCGGGTCTAAATTTTGGTCTAGAATGATGGTACTATGATATTCTGATTTCTAGTTTTATCGTATTTCATCATTTAGAAACATAATAGGACAGCTTTCCTCAACAAGCCATACGTTTTGAGGTATAATTCATATCTGTAAGCTACGGGTTATCCTACATGCTAGAGATGAAGGGTTTGTTAAATTATGAGGAATAGTAATTGTGACGCTTGACATAGCGAACAGCAATTTTCCGGTGTTCGCTGAGCCAGGCCTTCAGGGTGCTGGTGCTCTCGCGGGTGGCGTTCTTGGGTCGGGACGGATCACCAAACTGATACTGGTGACCGTACGGGTAGAAGGATGCGTGAGGAAACCCTGCATGCTGAATCCCAGGACTGTCTTTAAACTCGTACTGGGAGCCCTTAAACAGAAGAAAAGCAAGTATATATATGAGCACATGTGCTTCTGAGAGAAATATGTGCTTATTTACTGCTAAATTTGTTTACATTTATTGTATAAAGATATTAATAAAACAAGGAAAAATACAAATAAAGCCATATTTCATAAAAAAAGAGAATTGTCCAGTGTTTGTATAAATGGAAATATACAGTTTTTATTCTTTTTTAAATTGTATTATTATTTGTTTGCTTACCAAAATGGACCCTTAAAAATAACTTTTGCTATTTTAACTTGACGCAGTAAGGTTTATGGAATAATAATTTTGACTTGAATAAATCAGTCTAAACATTTAAAAGTATTTTTGTTGAATTCCTCAAGAGTTCTTGAATTGCTTTTGAAGATTAAAGAAAAAACGGTAAACGATTGCATGATAGAATTTCCAGGTACAATAAAATGTGTTTAAATACATTTTTTTTTAAATTTGCATAAATACAAATTAAACGCAATTTGTGGACCTTAACACACGTTTTCACATTTCAATAATAAGACTAAATATGCCATAGCAACATTTTCCGATTTAGAGAGATCCCAATTGACTTAAAAATAACCCATCGTGAGTTGAACTTGCAGTTCTTTGGAGGAAAAACAACATTAGCTATTCTTCATTACAGATTCTTTCGCGTATTTGGTTGCGCCGGTAAATAGACGTGAAATAAAAAACTAGAGAAACGAAAAAGTTATTTTCGGTACTTATTCTTAAATAAACGTAGCCTACATTTTATTTTTAAGTTGTGCAGTTAACAGCATAAATGCGAACGATATTTTCAAACGTTCCAAATGCTTGTAAATCCAAATGATTATTATTGCACATTCCTCGACTCGAAGATGTATTGTACTTGAACTCACCAGCTGATTGAGTACGGAGAGGTCGCTGGAGTAGGGCAGGAACGCGCTGTACCCCTGCGCGCTGGCGAACGGAGCTCCGTACATGCTGGAGAGGACGCTGGAGAGCGAGGCTGACGCGCTGAGCTCCGCGCCGACGCGCCGCTCCGTGGAGTACAGCGGTCTGATGTACCTATAGCCGAGCTGCGGGAGAGACATGCTGCTGCCAAAGGTCCGAGCGACGGAAAACAATCACAGATCTCGCCTTTGACACGGAGCACTGAGAGGAAACTCGCGGAGAGCCTCGCTGAGAGTTAAAGCCGCTCTCCGCTCTGAGGTGCACTGAGGTCACATTCAGATTGAGTGAGATTGCTCACAGCACTCGTGTGATTGACATTTCTAGTGTCTCTCAGGCCCCTCCCATCTCCGAAAACTCTCTCTCTCTCTTTCACACACACACACACACACACATATCGAACTTTATTCTTCTCACACAGCTGAATAGCCTATTATAACCCTTTTCCATAACACAAACAAGACTGCGCATGAGAGAGAAATAAACTTATATTTGCCTAACAATTATCAAATCGTCGTACAAGCAATTTGACTAAATTATTATGACAATAAAATGTATAATAATGGAACATATTACGGCAATATGGGTATTAGAAACAGTAAAATAATCAAACCAAGAGCTTTTGTTATTTGTCATAATAATAAAAAAATAACAATATTTCTGCAAACTGCGGTCTTCTGTTAACACTAAGAGAAAATCAGAGAAACGAGAGATACACTATTGAAATTCCAGGAAAAGATTAAATAAATCCCGAAGAGACATATCGATGCTTTATTGTCCTCAGAAACCAGCATGCAGAGTATGATTGCATCTCCATCGGTTTATTACGAGCACATCACACATCTGCTTTCACAGAATCCAATCCGCTTTATAAAAGAGTGTTTATCCGGCGAAGCAGATGATAATATCGCTATTCATCGACATGTGCTGACATTAACACAGCATGAAAGAACAAAGACGAAATAGCATGCTCACGATGGGTTTAAGATTGAAAACTAAGAGAAATGAGAAACAAAAATCGAGAGAGTGAAAAACCTGACGGATCTTTCTCGTTCGTTTATATTATTTTCATACCATTTTCACTAGCCTTGAAAAACAAACTACGCATGGCGTTGTACTTTATAAGTTTAGAGTAAAACAGTAAAATACACAAATAATTGCAAATGTTTCTAATCTGTAAAATTATGATAAAATGATTTCAATACTTTCAAATAAATAATAATAAAAAAGACCCATATCGATTTTGCATTATGGTGGATCAATAACGAGCAGTAAAATATCGTTCGTTTATATTATTTTCATACCATTTTCACTAGCCTTGAAAAACAAACTACGCATGGCGTTGTACTTTATAAGTTTAGAGTAAAACAGTAAAATACACAAATAATTGCAAATGTTTCTAATCTGTAAAATTATGATAAAATGATTTCAATACTTTCAAATAAATAATAATAAAAAGACCCATATCGATTTTGCATTATGGTGGATCAATAACGAGCAGTAAAATGATTGTAATAACACGATACCGGTTTTACCAAAGCTCTTAAAACAAGATCTATAAAAGATACCCAGTCCAGGAGAGCTAATAGCGATCTTCCTTTCACCAACATCAAGGACCTAGATGATTAACAGCTGGTCTTTGAGAAATGTTGATTTGGCCGTTCCTCAAGCTGATGCACTAAAGAAACCTTTGGAAAAGCGCAATGAAAACCACAACTCTCAGGCCTTTATTAACTTGCTCCAGACGCGCTCCTGATTTGGAGATGTCAGCAACGACTTGCACGCTGGAGCGAGCTGGTCGGGTGCTAACGAAAAACGAAATGGTCTTTGCAAATTATCTGAACGTCCTAGCCTCCCATCTTTTGCACCTGCTTTGTTTTAGCACGCAAATGGCCGCAGTCTTGAGGAATCCATTCTGGCAGTCACATGGATGACTTCACAGCCAGTTATTCTTAAAGTCCCCATGAAATCAAAATGAAAGTTTTTTGGGTGTTAGTATCAATATGTTAGTCTTAAGGTTATCTATAAGGCAGCGTGCTCCAAAACAGTGGCAAAATTCGCATTTAGAAGATATAAGCATTCAAAGCTTGCAGTTCGTCACTTCCGCCAAAACGGCGCAACGATTTTTCTGACGTCACATCGTACTTCATCTTCTCATCAAATCTTCTGACCAATCAAACGCTCTCTAGAATCCGAAGCCCCGCCCCCTGCACTATAAATAGACGCTGATCCGTCGCTTGTTCACAGTGTAGTATTTCCTGTGCGGTGAATGGCTCGAAGTGCACAATGTAGGTGATAGGGAACGATTCAGACAGTGTAAATATGCTTTCGATTGGTGCAAATGAGGACTGGTTTCAGTAGTTTCACGCAAACCGCGGCAGCGCCCACAGTCTGATCCGGACTTTGGCTCCGGTCCACGCGATCGCACGGAGCGGATCATATGCGCGAGTCGGCATATATTAAACACTTCTGCAACTACACAGCCTCAGCATGATTATGACCACTACTTTGTTTTACTAAGAGTTTCATATTGAATCTAGGGGGTAGTCTATTAGACTGTGGCTGTCAAATGTGGCTTTACCGAGCTCAACGGCTCTGGCCTGAGCAGATATAAACTAAACGCTATTGGCTATTTTAAAAAGGGGGCGGAGCTGCTCGATTTGTCCCGCCCTCTCTTCTTGTTTCAGTTGAATTTACGTCACCACATAGAATAGGGTGACTATATGTGCCATTTTCCCAGGACGCGTCCTGGCCAGGATTTCTATATTGCCTAAAATATCTAGGTTTTGGCTTTGTTTGCGTGTGCAGACCAAAATACATCAAAATACCATACAGACGGTTCCTTATGCTTTCAAAATGCTCTCGAGGTATTTTGATGTCATACACCGATCGGTCTGCACTCGGAAACAAAGCCAAAACCTAGATATTTTAGGCAATATAGAAATCCTGGCCAGGATTGGCACGTATGGTCCTGGGAAAATGGCACGTATGGTCACCCTAACATAGAATAATGCTGCATGTTTCAAGGCACTTCAGGGGACCTTTAAGTAATAGATACATTGCGCAAAGCCACCCTGAAGAGACAGCAAAAACCCATCGCCCTTTCATAGCCTACTAACAGGAGCGTCGCGCGGCCTGGGACAGGGTCACAGGTTAACGTAATGCACGCTCGCGCAGTTTGTTTTCCTGCGAAGTTTAGATAAGTAGCTGACCAATGAAGCTTGTAATTACAATATTCCAAAAACTGGTCCCGGATCAGTATATAAATCTCTCCATCCAATTACAAGATGTAATATTTCTGCACTCAAGCTGGTAATGAGCTCTAATGCCTGTGCTGGAGTTAATCCCCCTCGGATGCAGCACAGATCAGATGTTGCCTCTGTAATTAGACTGGCAGAAAATCATTATTTCATGTTCAAATAGAAAATGAGGTTGGTGGGGAAGTTAATGTCTCTCTGCTCTGTCAAGCATGGACAAGAATTTAATGATTTAATTACAGTTGTAAGCTCTTTAGATCAGACTTAAATGGAGCCGAGGGTTTTTTTGTACACTCTTTTTTTCTTCGCCACAGTTGTGTAAAAGGCTACGGCGACTCAAAGCCTTTGACACGCGCTCAGAGAGAGCGGAGATCTTTGTGAGCGCGTCTTATGGCCATATTAATTGCCTCGCTTCCTTGTTTAACAACTTAAGTAACACCTCTTTCTTCACCCATGATGACAATTACAGGAAATATATTTCAAGAATAGTGGTTGAAAATCTAAATGGTTTTCCTTATTCCGCGAAACACAGATGTTTAGCAGAATGTCCAAGCTGCTCTTTTCCACACAATGAAGGTGAATGGAGACCGTTGAGCTTCAAAATGACACAAAAGAAAAAGAAGAGTACAATGCAACTTGCACACAATTCTTATGAAAAACAGACAAAAATGTAAGTCGTTATTTGTAGTTATGTTGTTTTTTATTTAATACTAAACAAAGCCAAAACCTAGATATTTTAGGCAATATAGAAATCCTGGCCAGGATTGGCACGTATGGTCCTGGGAAAATGGCACGTATGGTCACCCTAACATAGAATAATGCTGCATGTTTCAAGGCACTTCAGGGGACCTTTAAGTAATAGATACATTGCGCAAAGCCACCCTGAAGAGACAGCAAAAACCCATCGCCCTTTCATAGCCTACTAACAGGAGCGTCGCGGCGGCCTGGGACAGGGTCACAGGTTAACGTAATGCACGCTCGCGCAGTTTGTTTTCCTGCGAAGTTTAGATAAGTAGCTGACCAATGAAGCTTGTAATTACAATATTCCAAAAACTGGTCCCGGATCAGTATATAAATCTCTCCATCCAATTACAAGATGTAATATTTCTGCACTCAAGCTGGTAATGAGCTCTAATGCCTGTGCTGGAGTTAATCCCCCTCGGATGCAGCACAGATCAGATGTTGCCTCTGTAATTAGACTGGCAGAAAATCATTATTTCATGTTCAAATAGAAAATGAGGTTGGTGGGGAAGTTAATGTCTCTCTGCTCTGTCAAGCATGGACAAGAATTTAATGATTTAATTACAGTTGTAAGCTCTTTAGATCAGACTTAAATGGAGCCGAGGGTTTTTTTGTACACTCTTTTTTTCTTCGCCACAGTTGTGTAAAAGGCTACGGCGACTCAAAGCCTTTGACACGCGCTCAGAGAGAGCGGAGATCTTTGTGAGCGCGTCTTATGGCCATATTAATTGCCTCGCTTCCTTGTTTAACAACTTAAGTAACACCTCTTTCTTCACCCATGATGACAATTACAGGAAATATATTTCAAGAATAGTGGTTGAAAATCTAAATGGTTTTCCTTATTCCGCGAAACACAGATGTTTAGCAGAATGTCCAAGCTGCTCTTTTCCACACAATGAAGGTGAATGGAGACCGTTGAGCTTCAAAATGACACAAAAGAAAAAGAAGAGTACAATGCAACTTGCACACAATTCTTATGAAAAACAGACAAAAATGTAAGTCGTTATTTGTAGTTATGTTGTTTTTTATTTAATACTAAAACCCGAAACAATGAATCATTTTCATTAATTGAAACAAAGCTGAAATAATATATGTATAAAATGTAAATTGAAATGAGAAATGTTGTCTTATGCAACTAACTGATATAACAAGTTTAAGTAGGCCTACTACAATTATTAAAACTTGAAATAACTGAAAATAACTGAAAATAAATATTAGAAACATGGATAAAAATGAGATGAACTAAAATGAGAACTAAAAATGTAATA